AGGATTTCTTTATTATTTAATTGTGTCAAACATATTCACAGACAATTTAAAACTTATTTAAAACTCCGAAACATTTTCTTCAAACAAATAGCAAAAACTATCCCGACTGTTGGGAAAAGCCGTGACAATATTTTTAAAACAATTTTCTTTTCTATCCTATTAATATCTCAATTTGTACGATACTATTACTTTTGATATGTCGTGTTTTCATTGTGCTGCATGTATGGTGTCTTGACGCTGTATTGTACTATTGTGTTTTTGAAACTTGTAAAGTGAAAAGTGTATTAAAACTTTTATATTTGGAACGACATATAGTTTTACATTTCATTTTACCAAATTTCTCAGCCATTTCCTGAACAAATTAATGTTAAACAGAAACTAATTCCATCATTGTGTTTATATTCTAAGCACTAACATCGAAAAAAAACTCAACTTTGGAATAAAGCAATAAAGTCACAGGCTCAGTGATTGCGGTGAATATTCACCTCGACTTCGTCACGGTGAATATTCACCGGTAATCACTTCGCCTTCGGCGAATAATTGTTAAATATTATTTATTAATCCCCGAGCCGACGGCGCGAAGCGCCGTGCGAGGGTACTAATTCCCCCCGGCTATTTACACCCGGGGAAACGAAAGCATTAGCCAAGTTTAAAGTTCATCAAATATCGCGGGCGTGGCTCACCAACGAAGTTTCGGTGGGTGGTCATCCTCACTGATCTCAAAAATATGGCGGACTGTCATGAATAGCGGACACTGATTGGTCCAATTTACAGTTTGCATTATAACGACTGCATGACGACAGCGAAACAGCAAACATTTCTTGATTTGATGATTGATAAATTTCTTGCAAATATATCTTATTTTTGCTCGCATTTTTGCAAGATTTTGTAAATTTCAAGAAAGAAAAGACTAAAGAATGGGCTAAAAGAAGGGAGCCGACGTTAACAAAGGTAAGTTTGTTTTAAATATTTATTTTATAATTGTTTTAAAACCCGACGGCCTTTGAGTATATGATAAAGTTCATTTCTTGCAAGTTGTATTTTAGCAAGATTTTGTAAATTTCAAAACCTTTCTGAGAGCCAAAAACGTCTAAAAACGTCTAAAAGAATAGAGCAAAGTCGCCGACGTTAGCGAAGGTATAGTCGTTTTAAATATTGATGTATTTTTTGTCTTATAATTGATATATTTATAACTGATAGTGGTGGGCGATACGGCGAATATCGAACTAAACCTATCATTGCGTATATAAGTGAAAAAAGACAGCATATAATTTCAGTGTAGTTTTATTAACTACTTTTTCTTTTGTATATTAAAGTATTTAAATAAAGAGGAAAGCAAAGTTATTTTCATGCGAGAATTTGAAATCAGCTTATTTCAAACTCAATGACAATGTTTACCGATAATTCGATAAAAGGCCGTTTAGTTTTGAGAACATTTTAAAACGTTTTGCGAAGCGTTTGTGGTTGAATTTTACATTAAATTGATGCTTATATTACTTATAATAACATACCTGGCATACATATGTTTGGGAAATTGATAATTTTGTTATTAAAAGTGATATTAAAACCAGGTTTAAAACTATTCTTAAAATTATCGTGTTACCATGACAACTACTTTCAATTCTTCATAATATTCAGAAAACATAATGTTTTGTCAGTAAGGCGAGGGTTTCTGCATGCATGTATTTTCTAGTTAATATATAATTCACTTTGTGTACGGCTAATTGTATTGTTCATGTTCTTCATATAAAATCCACGTAGTTTCCCCAGATCCATAGCATATTTATTGCATCACAGCTCGCGGAATGCGCACGTAATTTCATTCAGTTTTCGTATTCATTAGATTATCTTTCGGTATTTTCGGTATTATCTTCTGATATACATCTCAATATAGCATCGTTCCGAAATGTTCCTCTAACTTGCATTCGAAAGTTCTAATGGAATTTCATTATTGACTTTTCCGGCAGAGTCCACCTGGAATATCGAGTGTTGAAATTTAACTCTAATGTTGAAAAGTGTGCTTTCTTTATTGGAATTATTCTCTATTTGCAGGAAGCCCTGCGATTGTTTCCATCAGTGCCACTTATGGTCCGTGAATTGACAGAGGAATGTAAATTTGGTAAGAAAATTTGCATGTGGTGATAGAAGGCTGTCGCTTCTCCTCACACGTTATGTTTTCAAACGATCTATTAAATTCAGAAAGAAATTTCTGGAAGGAAATTCAAAAGAACTGGGGCCGGTTGTTGAAAAACCGATTAACTTAACCCTAGTTTAAAGTGCATATGACACGAAATTTCACCCCAAAGGTTTATTGGTGCATTGTAAAGATCACTTAAAGTGACTTAAATAATTTCTTTTATGGAATTTTGGTAACTTGCTCCCTTTTCAAGATATTCAACTTTGTTTCATATGCAAATATCACCGGTGTGACATCACATCACATCACATCACATCACATAATGAGTTTTCAGAAAAGTATAGTTTTCTTGACGAATACGTACTATCTAAAAAACTTAAAAATTGTCTTTGTATTTGTATTAATTTCATAACATGTTAAAATATTTCATAAAATGTTACATTTTCAAAATGTCATTATGAGATGTGATGTCACACCGGTGATATTTGCATATGAAACAAAGTTGAATATCTTGCAAAGGAAGCAAGTTACAAAAATTCTATAAAAGAAATTATTAAGTCATTTTAAGTGTTCTTTACAATGCAATCATAAACATTTGGGGTGAAATTTCGTGTCATAGGCACTTTAACCTAAAATTCAAAGCAAACTTCCCAACAACTTGTTTATAAACTTGGAAATATTTCTTCAGAAGTCTTGTGTGGATCAATGAGAGTTTTCTTTTCTGAAGTTTTGAAATAAACACATGTGCAGAAATACCGAAATTGAAACAGGAGGTTAAATTTTAACCCATGCAGCGCTAGCGGTAATCCAGCTTTGAACAACCGGCCTCTGGATGTTTAATCAATGTCTGTATTGATTTTTGTAGCCTGAGTTTATAGCCTGAATTTTCTTGGCTAAAACAAACAATATCGCCAAAATTATCGGTAAAAAAATGTTTGCATCCGATCTGTGTCTGATTTTCAACCGCTGCCGTCTGATTGGTTTATTTTTTACGTGATCGCTTTTATATTCACTCGTATAGAAGGTAAACTTCAAGTTTCATGTTATTTTCCACATGTGGTTTGCCAACCTTACAAGCCAAGTTCTCTACTTCCGCTTCCGTGGAAAACACGAGCATGTTTGGGAGGGAAGCGGAGGTAGAAAGCCTGGCTTGCGAGCTTTGTGGGTTGCATAGACCGCGCAGCGATTTTACGATTTGTGGAGGAAGGGAGAGGGGTGGTGTCGAGTTTAAATCAGTTGGCAGCGAACTTCGTAAGGAATATGAGGATCCCGCCAGAAAATTTTGACAATTATAAACGCTATTTCCCACAATAACTTACTCAAAGTAACCATGTGTACAATGTCTGACGATAGCCAAACATGTCTGACTGAAAATTAATGAAAATTTTTGTAAAAGAACAATTACACAAAGATGCAACGATCAAGTCGAGGGTTACTCTGCTTTGAAAATCACGTAGGAAAATCCCAAAACACTTTCAAAACTAATATGCTTCACCTTTGAAAACTGATGTTGGTTAAGCCAATGGTAGAGTCACGTAAAAAAGGAGAAATATATTTCAACCTGAGCATGCAGCTATTAGTATTTATTACAGGACTAGTTTACCAATTTTCCAAACCAAACACGAAAGGGCATATGCGTTCTGTCTCATAAAACCGGGGCATTGAATAACCCGGATTATTATGGTATAAAATCTGTCAAGATTTTATACTATAATAATCCGGGTTATTGTTTAATGCCCCGGTGAAACTGGTGTATGTTTTTCTCCAATAGAAAAGATGCCCAGGTGAGATAAACCTGGGACCAACCAGGGCTTATGTCAATATGTAGGTCATAATAGTAGTGGTTAAGGCACGGGCAATAGGACAGGTGTAGTGTTGTTAAATAGAAAGTTAGAAATGGTATTGTACTTACTCATGTATTATAATTATGTTTAAAAGATCAGAATATTCATAACTTCTTATTTTGTTTCATAAATAGTTCTTTAATATTCGAAACAAATTCCACATCTGCTTCGTCTGCCATCGCCATGTTTACTCGTCCCAATCTACATGCTGCACGGCATTGCCGCCCCTCCTGGCAAAATAATAAGCAAGCGAGAAAAATTAAGGAGAAAATAAGAGGGTAGGAACATTGTGGGCGTTTCGTGAGCGTGTCATCGTTCTGGGCGAATCGGCTTTCGCAATATTGTATCACATGACTAATTCAAATTGTCATAGGCGGGAAGCAGCGTTACGTCATCCCTATGTCAAATAAAACGTTATAAAACGCGTCGAGGTTACGTTTGTGCCATATATGGAAGTTATGGATAGGTTTGTGCCATATATGGAAGTGTCACTGCATCCAGCTTATGACAACGATGTTCCTACCCTCTTATTTTCTCCTTAATTTTTCTCGCTTGCTTATTATTTTGCCAGGAGGGGCGGCAATGCCGTGCAGCATGTAGATTGGGACGAGTAAACATGGCGATGGCAGACGAAGCAGATGTTATGAAACAAAATAAGAAGTTATGAATATTCTGATCTTTTAAACATAATTATAATACATGAGTAAGTACAATACCATTTCTAACTTTCTATTTAACAACACTACACCTGTCCTATTGCCCGTGGTTAGGGCGCTTACATATATATAGGGCGTTGAAACGGCAATATAGGCTCTGATCGATGTGTAATGCAATGAACTGGTAACGAGCGTCCTGTTGTTACTATGGTGACTGTTTTATGGCAAGATAAATATGGCGGGAAACTGGGTTCGAAGTTTTGACTGTTTTGTAGTCAAGTTTTGATGAAGAAAATGTTGTGATAAAATTCCGCTGTTTGATACAACAATATAGTAGATTCTGCTATTGTATTTTCAGATATTACTGCCAAGAATCAAGCTAATTTATTAAAAATATTCCAGAAAAATATCGCTTCTCAAACTATTTGACAAGAATGATCAAATCTGTCCAAATGGGATAGATCCAATGCAATTACAAAACATCTATAAATGCTCCACAGTAATTTCCTATTTCGTCCAAATGTTCCAACTAAGTCGAGAAGTGGTTTTGAATGCGTTCAATACATCGAATATCGTATTATAAGTCGAGCAGCGCATTGCACCTCCCTATATATAAACGCCCTGGTGATGATGGACAGTGCCCGATCAGATGAGTGCTCCAAGAATAACAAATAATCACAAATTATAATGGAATGTTCAATTACAGGTCCGTACCATATTCCTGAAGGCTGTTCTGTCCTTGTGGCGCCTATGGCATTACACCGTAATCCTGAAGTATGGGACGATCCTGATACGTTTAATCCTGATAGATTTCTTTCTGAAACTAACGTTGGAAGAAATCCCTTTGCTTATGTTCCTTTCTCGGCAGGACCCAGAAACTGTATTGGTAAGTAACGCAGTTTAATATGTAACATGTCATGGTGGCGTAACTTAAACTGAAGGGGACCTTTGTCCTGTTCATTCAAACTGCCGACGGGGGGTGGCTACGGTGATATTCACCGGATGGAACGCACACTGAAATTGGCAACGCTGATTGTTACCTGTTACCCTGGCGGTTTACGAAACGGAATTACGGCAATACCCAAAGTAGTTATGCATCTGACATAACAGAAATCTTATTCGCAATCCTAATCGGAATCTTCTCTTTTAGGGCAAAAATTTGCAATGATGGAGGAAAAAGTCGTATTAGCTTCAATTATACGTCATTTTCATATCAAATCTACGCAGTTGACTGAGGATATCAAGATAACTCCTGAACTTATTCTTAAGTCCACCAACGGTATTATGGTGAAACTGGAAACGAGAAATTTATAGAGATTTCTTTGCTCTGTATTCTAGTGAAAATAAATAAATGCAAACCTCGGTCAAATTACATCCTCTGCTCAACCAGGTCAAATTACATCCTCTACTCAACGACACTGGAGTATATACGGTAATTTAAAGTCGCAATGTGGTCTAGGGATAACGTCATCAGCCAACAAGGTCTAGATAGGTTGTTGAAGAGAACTACCGTCATCTCCATTTATGACTGGGGTTGTGTGCACGTTCTCACATCACGCTTGTTACGAACGTCTTTTTCAACATATATAAACAGCAACATTGCGACTTTAGATCATCCAAGTTAGAGGTGGAGGGCCGAATCCCCTTGTTGTGAGCTTAGGCTCGCTTGTTAAAAATTCATGCCGATTTGAGGGGCTGACTTCCCAACATCCAATGCAGATTGTATAATCATAACCTGGATAGTTCTTTGCAAATGCATGGTTGAAATATATGGTAATGATTTTAAGTAATCTGTACTTGATTGTACTATGCTAGTACCATTAGAGCATTTATCCAACATGAAATTTCTTCGGTATATCTTTCAATTCTTTTCAAGTTCATTAATTAAGTCCTTTGCTCATAAACACTAATTGCAGAATTACTGGAACCAATAATAATTACTGGAACTTTCCACGTTTATCGGGTTGCATACTTGCACCCTCCACGCCTTGCCACCCAGACATTTTGATACCCCGCCCCCTGGTTTTAATTCTACATCATTGCCTGGTGGGGCACTTGAGTGGAGTGTTGACCGAGCATTGCATTTATTTGGTTTAATTAACCAGAGTAGCGCAGAAAAACACTTCAAATAAATTGTTATATATATAGACCTTACTGATTTTTAGAAATAAATTACGTGAGAGTCAAGTGCCTTCCAACTTTGGTATGTTTGACATATGTACATTACCAAACGATTTACTTTGACGTGCGAAGGTCAGCCAAGGTGAATCAAGTGTGTATAATAGGCAAGATGAGTGTACATCGTTGTCGATCGGATTGCTTCACAAAGTGGCTTGTATTTCATCAGTAATCAAGCTTATTTGAAAGGATGCTTACAATAGTTTTTGCTGGGATTATTTTAATTCTGCTATGTATTTGGATGGCGTGGAAGCGTTTTGAATTCTGTCTTATTATGTCAGCAGTTCCTGGTCCCAAGGCTTGGCCTGTCGTTGGCAATGCATTGCAATTGAAGAGGGAATCCACACGGTACGAGATACTTAGGAAGTATTATCAAAATATTGGGTTTACATTTGTAGTTTTCTGCCTGTTGTTAGCATTTTTCTAGCGTTTGTAAGGGACCGGTCATAAAGTATGTGTACCGGGGGATGGAGGGTAAATACGTTCATTTCTACGTTTTCTACGTTTCTTAACTTTTGACAAGGTTAAAGTAGTACGTTTCATACGTTTCATACTATGTTCGAGTGTGGTATTTCGGAACTTAGGGCCTGTTCATATGGGCAACAGTTATCCCGGTTAGCGAGAAAACTTATCGACATGTTTACAAGCGAGATCTGGCCTTGGTATGAAAATAATATGAAAAGTTACACCGCGTTCATATGAGACAAAACGTTTTCCCGTGTACCGAGATATCGCTTGTTGACAGGCGAGATCTCGGTAACCGGGATAATGTTTTTCCCATATGAACACAACTTTCCCGCTTAGCGGGATAACTTTCTGTCGTGTCAGCAATTTTTCAATTCAATTGATGTTCAGTGTTACGTCACAGCCGGAAACTTTACCCGGTAAGCGGGAAAACGTTTCAGCATATGAACAGAACAAATGTATTGGCTCGTCGAAATGTTTTCTCGTTAACCGGGATAACTTTTGCCCGTATGAACAGGCCATAAGTCGATACCAATGTATTCTATGATCATATTTTTTTGTTGTGTTTTAATGTTATGGTACTAGACTTGGGTACTAGACTTGGCCTCGTAGCTCAGTTGACAGAGCATTGGACTAGTATCCCAAAAGTCACGGGTTCGATTCCCACCGTGGTCAGGCTAACGTTTCATACTGTTCGATAGTAATATTGGTTGGGTCTTCTCTAACCTGAAGTTCGGGCCCTAATTTGAAGTAGGGCCTGACACAAAACCTGTCTAGACCGTGGGACGCCCACATGACACAACATGCAATATGATTGACAAGTGTTGTAGATTTCGTTACACAAAAAATTTATATTCTCATGAACATGTCCGCAGAGTGTGCATTTTGCTTTTTAATTAAACTTAAAAATTCAAGGTACTTTTATATGATTAAGAGTCAGTTTTTCTATTTAACCGAACAGCAAACAAAGATTTAATTAGTTCTGTGCACGGCTTGACTGCCAAGCTTTCTCAAGGTCTTAACTTGCTGGACGCGGATATACTCTAACGGGCTAACAACAGCAACAATGAAATTCTCAATCGTACCACGAAGAAGGCGATGTAGCTCAGAAACAACGCCGGTAGGACCTGCATGATATTAAAAATAAGACTTTTGCCGGCGAAGCCAGTTGGCAGAACATCTTGGCTGTCAACAACAAGCTTTCGAATACATGATTAGTTTGGCTGTTCTTTCAGCGTCGTGTGTCCAAAATTCGTCAAAGATTTTGATGAAGCCCTTTCAAAATACTGTTTGTTTGATTTATTTTCTGCCATAAAGCATAAAAGAAAAGAAATTCGCCTTTAGCCCTTGGCCGAGCTATTTTTAAAACTGTTGTTTATGTGAACTTGCAACCAATCAAAATCCTTCATGATGCTGATCAACCAATCAGATTTCCCGTCCACCAGATGGACGGGAATCCCACAGTCTAGATAGGTTTTGCGTCAGGCCCTATTCTGTGATTAGGGCCTGACCTTCAGGTTCTCTCCAAGGACATTTTCACATTCTTGTTCAGCAAACACAACAGAATCATAAGCAGTTAAGCACGTAACTCTTGCTGCACTTGTTGCTCAAGATAGGTGGTCTAATATTTAGCTGGAACTCCAGAAGATTTTAATAACATCGTAAGCTGGTCAAGAAAACGGTCAAGTTGTTCGTCAGGCTTGTATAGCAAGGTAAACCACTTGAGGCAATGTTGACTTCAAAATGTCAACGTTGCTGGAACTTGGGGAATTTGTGGCTAAACTGCGACAGTTTTCGCGAGTGCTTCGATGTGTTGTCGATTTGCTTCTTGGGCATCGTGTTGGTTTGTAAGCTGGGACTTTTTCACATCAGCTAGCCCTTTAACGATCACTGTGAGTTACAAACGATGTAAAAAATCCTCTAAAATTCTGTTAAAACAATTTGCATTCTCCACCAACTCTATAAACATGCACTTTATTAATATCAAACAACAAAATGCACGATACATGGATAATAAACGAAATAATATAGTTTTTATTTAACTAGCGGTCATCGAGTCCATGTGCTCTGTCTGCCTGTTCGCAGGTTGCGCTTTCCCAAAATCCTACTACAGATGACATTGCGGCGTGTTTGGCACTGCCTTACCTGGCATCCTCCGCAGGCCGCAATATTCAAATACATGCGCACTACACTGTACCTTGCCACCGAATACTGTACAATATCGTATATAGAAATACTAAGTCAGTTTTTGTCTTAGTGATCGTTTTAATGGCACCTTCAAGGCTACCCCTATCGTATAACAACCGATTAATACGCTATTTGTCGACATTTTTGTATGACATGACAGCTTCAAATGACATCATTCACGGTGCAAAACTATATATAAATAAGAAATTGATCGAAATATATTGTATACCTTGAAATGTAGTGCCTATCACGGTAGCCCGGTAGGATTATTAATTTATTTCATATTATGCCAACAATGGAATATCTCGGAAATATAAACAATCTCAGAGATATAAACAGACCGTCATCCCTTGTACAAAAGTTGTAAATGCTGGTAACTAGTAATATGTGCAGACTGAAATCCACACTGGATTAAGACGTGCACACACAACATTCCGTGAACGTACTGAAAGCAAAGGGGGGTTCAAACAAAAAAAGCCGTTTCACAATTCACATGTCTTAAAAAAGCAATTTCACATTTCACTAAAAACAATACTAGTTTACCCACGGGGTAGTGAATACTGCCTTGGTATAGCATTGCTCCCAAATCTTTAATAGTTTAAAGAACAAGAGTAAGAAATATTTGTAATGAATTGAAATCATCCAGATACAGTTTATACATCAATATTTTCAAAAGCGTACCATTGAATTAGACCAGGGGTTAAAGTGCATATGACATGAAATTTCTTATTTTCTTAAATTAAAGAAAAATTAATTTTAAGCTGCAGTGTAACTTATTTTTTAGTTTCTTGATTTATAATTTGTTTCCGAGATATTTCAATTTGTTTGATATGTAAATGAGTGTGAATATGTCCGCTAACTTATGACGCCACTTTGGTTGCAAGCTCTTCAAAATGGTTGAATATATCACTGCTCTCATCCAAGATAATAATTTCAAACTTCACTCACTGGTAAATGTGATGAAGCACCAGAGAAAAACGTGAACTAATATCCACAGCTTTTAGAGTTAATAGATTTATAACCTGTGTAAGTTGAGCTTGCAACCAAAGTGAGGTCATAAATTAGCGGACATATTCACACTAATTATTTACAAATCAAACAAATTGAAATATCTCGAGAACAAACCATAAAACCATGAAACTAAAAAATAAGTTACACCACAGCTTAAAGAGTTCTTTCATTTAAGAAAATAAGAAATTTCATGTCATATGCACTTTAAAGGGCAATGACAATGATGCAGATGACATTTAACATGAGCGACTGTGCGTCTCACTAAATCTGTGTGCTTAATAATAATGTTTATCAAAGAAGGCAAAAATATATACAAGACAGCCTCACATGTGAAATCTGTTCACTTACGGACTGCCTTGTCATGCAGTACAAGCACGGGCTTTAGGACAAGTTCAATTTGACAACGTTACAATAGTATTCTATCTAAATAGCAGTTAAAATAAAGTGTACGGCACCTGAACTGTTCAACATTTTGCTTCTATTAGTATAGGTAATAGCATGGCTTCGAGTGCAATTTGGATATAACATGCACGAGTGAGTTTTTCAAAGACCTCAAAATGTCTCAAAACAATATGAGGAAGACGAAATTTGAGTATCATCTGCATAGAGATACGGAGTTTTTTTTTTTTCAAGTACTGAATCTGGCATGTCGTTTACATAAAGTAAAAATAACAATGGTCCTAGAATTGAACCCTGGGGGACACCGCATCTTATTTTCTTCGGTAAGGATGTGTGGGCATTTACCAAGCAAACTTGCTCTCTATTCGTTAGGAAGGACTCAAACCATTTCAGTTCAATGTCATGTATTCCAAATTGAGTTTTTAGCTTTCTCAATAAAATCTTATGGTTAATAGAATCAAACGCTTTACGAATATCCAAAAATACTACTCCATTTATTTTGCCTTTATCCATATCACTTAGCCATTGGTTACACATCTGAATGAGCGCGCCCACAGTTCCATGTTTTAGTCGAAATCCTGATTGAGATTTTGACAATAGCGAGTTTTCATTCAGATATTTATATATTTGAGTAAACACTTCTCTTTCGAATACTTTGCTTATAATGGGTAGAATCGAATTTGGACGGTAATTTTCACACTTTTTTCGGTCTTTTGCTTTATAAATCGGAGATACTCGAGCTAATTTCCAGTCGTTTATGTATATACCAGTGCTAAGAGACTGTTTGAATATAACGGTCAACGATGGAGCGATGATGTGTGATGCCGCCTTAAGAACTTTTGCCGGTATGTTATCAACACCGGTTGCTTTAGAAGATTTAAAGGACATTGGCGAACGGATTTTTTTATTGGCTATTTTTGTTCACGTTGGTTATCTTAATAAGGATATGTATTTTATTTGGAATGGAAATTATTCGATTCGGAGTAAAAAGCGAATGAAGTTGGTCTAATTATGCATAGTGTCCGCCATCTTGAAGAAATTCCCGATATGCTAATTTATGCTGAAATGCCTTACTGACGTCATTGGCAGGGGAACGGATTATACAACGTATACGGCCCTTGTAAATAACTATAGTTTACATGCTGTTTTTTTTCTATATTATTTGCGGAAATTGCATAAAAATGACATAGCAACCTTGTTTATTTCTATAAGTTTCCATCAATAAGCGTTCTTTCGCCTTGCGGAAGATATGCGACGAGTATTTACGTCTTAGTGTAGGAGCGCCGAACATCTTGCGTCAATGCAATATACAGTTGACATAAGTTACTTTAATTTTTTTAAATCCCGTTGTAAACCAATTCATTTTTGGTCCATTATTTTCTGGGCGAGGGTAGGTAGGAAAGGATGCTTTAGTTTTCTAAAAAACATATAAAGCGCAAAACATAAAATGGACTATGTTATAATCTATATTTTTCCACAGACTATTGCATTCATGTAATACGTATTAAACCATGAAAGTCAAAGTTAATAAGCAATGTATATTGCCCTGTGTACGGCTGCAATAGTGATACTGTAGTCAACTGAAGACAAATAGAAACGTTAATTTCTTTCGTTTTCCTTGCGGCAAAACGTCTGAACAGAAGAGTCGTAGAGCGGCCTTGGAAGAATTTTGCAAACGAAAAGCATTCAAACCCTCACTTTGTACAAGAATTTGCTCGCTTCATTTTGCCGAGAAGTCATATGAACCCTCGCATTCTCCTCAATTCCTCGAAAGCACTGGATACACAGAGAAAACGAGTTTGCGCGTAAAGCCCAATGTTTATAACCAACGCTTGACAAGCCTACGACCAGCGCTAGCGTTTCTAACGTATCTCACTCGTCACAATCGAAGAGAACTAGGAGACAAACCGAGAAGAGACAACGTCAAAAGGTACCAGTACTTGAAATATACATTTACCAATAGCTTTAATAAATTCTGCTTCTTCCATATCCTTATTTTTCTTCATTGTTTCACAATTTAGAATCTTGAAGAGTGGTTAAAGTCACTTTTATCAACAGAGGATGAAAATTTGTCGGATGCGACTTGCGAGTATTAATCTTAGCGATATAAAGGAGCAGACCTTCGCATAGACTCAGACGCAGTTTGCGAGGAAGAAATCATAGCCAGTTTAGATCTCTCTTTTACTAATAGCGAAGACATTTACGCTCCACAATTAAGATCAAAATACACTCAGAAGTCAGACCTCGCTGAAACACACAAGTAAATTACACACATTCAAAACGCAGACATTCATATTAAACAACAGAATCACCGTGGTTTAGACAGTTATTTGATACTGCAAACTTAAATTAAGTGTAGAAGCGGGAGCAGAATGAAAACAAACAAGCAGACCTAACCAAATCACCAGAACTGAATAGGACTGTAAATGCAGCTCTAACAACTTTAGAGGCCGAACTTACGTTACTCTTCGAAGAATTACCTTCTGCACTACAAACGACATCACTAGAAAATTTTGACCAAACGAAGTAAAACTATAAATACCATAACTAACCCACAGCTTACTAAACCAACATTGACCGCTTCCTTCAGCATTTGTGACTAAAGGTCGTACTCATCGTACTCTAAAGCCTTTTCGTGCGAGCAAAAACTTCCTATTGTCTTTGTTTTGCAAGGTACAGTGGCCACACTTGCACCAACTGAGCGATTTAAGACGCCAGCTATTCTCAGCCTCGAATGCTTCATCGAAGTCTCAAGTCGTCGTCTGAGTCTCTGAGGATGACTCGCTCTCGGAATCGCTTCTGCCCCACTGCTACCAGTATTTTTGTTTAAAACAGGTTCAAACTGACAAGGTGACACTTCACCTAACTGATTCTCGTGAATTTCGTCCATAGAAAGCCTAGAACCGGCGAAAATTCTTCACAAAAGTTAAAACTGATCAAAAGCTATAGTAGCGACAGCGTTTGTTTTGCTTCTCCCCTGCCAATGACGTCAGAGGCCTCAAATGACATGAAAGATAATTTTCGAAAATGTGCTTTCAAAATGGCGGGCGATATGCATGATTAGACCAAATTCATTCGCTCTTTACTATAAAATGAGATATTTTCATCGCAAATGAAATACATATCTTGACTAAGACAATTATAGAGAACAAAACAAGGCAATAAAAAAATCCATTGCCGATGTCCTTTAAGATTTTGGAGACGCAAGGCAACATTACTCACACTGATATCGGTAAAATAAAAACGAGTCCCAGGACAATGTTGCTGGAAATTTGGGTCATCACCCGAATTATTATAGAGTTCATCAGACTCAGCTGCTTAGTTTATTCCTATATTCGTAAAAAAATCATTAAAAGATTTAGCAATAACTTTATCATCAGAAACAATTGTATCATTATTTAAAAGCTCTTTAACACTCGGCATTTATCAAGGACCAGCTTTTTTAAAGATTTTTAGAAAGTGTTCAATGCTCAATTTTCTCACAAAAATATTTTGACTTTGCCTCGTAGATCTCGATGTTCACGTTATTGCGCTCAGATTTATATAACAACCATTGTGACTGAGAATCGTGTTGTATTGCTTGTTTTTTGTGGAAATCCCTCTTTCTCATACGCTGTTTAACTTGGGGTGTAATCCATGGTATGGCGCAGTTCTGCCTCAACCTCTTCTGCCGTAGAGGTGCATGTCTATCAAGAGCTTCAAGAAAGAGCGATTTCCACACCTGCCAAGATGTGTTTGGACTGGCAAATTCAGTGATTTATAGAATCCCAAGGTAGTTGGGAAATATCATGAATAAAGTTGTTTTGAACAAAAATTTTAAAATCTCTAACGTTTTTCCCGATTTTGGTAACGTAAGTTTTCTAATAGCAAAAACCAGACTGTGATAAGATATCCCAAGGTGAACAACACCAGACTGGGATATATTTTCTGGTTTGTTAGTTAAAATTAAATCAATTAAAGAAGCTGATGTTGGCGTAACTCTCGTTGGCTCATTGATAAGTTGATCAAACTGTTAAAGAGAACATAGGAATTGTAATTTTCGTGTTTGATTATCGAGCGGAGTTTTACTAACATAACAATTCAAATCTCTTAAGAAGATTAACTCTTTGTTTTCAGCCTCACATTTTCATAAAAATTCCGCATATTCATCAAAGAAATTTATATCTGAGTTTGGTGGTCTATACCACGCATTAATTAAAAGTGATTTGTTGTATGGCCTATTAATTTCAATACATACCATCTCAAGATCTTTCGATATTAGATCTTTCCTTTCCGAGAATGATATGTTATCACGGACATATAAAACCACCCGACCCCCATATCTATTACGTTCTTTCCGAATAATATCATACCCAAATATATGTAATTCATTACACTTATTATTTCACCAGATGAACATGTATAAAACAACTAAATTCAAAATAAAAGCATTAGAATGCATCAACACGTTATAATATTCCGCCATTTTAATTATACTGTATGAAGTCGTGACTATCTTGTCACCTTAGCAACTCTCCGTTTCCATGACGACATATGTAGGCGTCAACTGCGTGGCGACATACGCGCATAAATTTCAAAACTTTTTTCAGCTTTCAAGACAAATTTGCATAATTTCACGTAAGTTTTTTAATTTTGTTTATTTTTTGTCCCTTAATTAGTTTATTTTGCACCTTCGTGTTTTGTTATTTGTTTTTCTACAAATTTATCCAATTTTAAACGGAATTTTAAACTTAATTTTGTGAATTTTAATGAATTTTATTTCACTTGTTTCGTGATGTAAACGTTAAAATCATTTATAATATTTATATTTAAATATACATAGTTTATTATGATTTACCTAAACAAAAATAAACATTTCATAATATCCTTTTTACCTTGAAATTGTACAATACAATACAATACAATACAATACAATACAATACAATACAATACAATAAAAATTTAATATTTATCCACGGTGGAATCTTCAGTATATAAATATATACAAGTTTAAGCATGCAAAAATAAATAAAAGAATATGATCTACTGGTTTACAAGATTGCCGTGTGGGAGTTCATCTAAACTATTATAATACTTGTTTACAGCTTTCCGGAACTGAGCAAACGATTGGAGCATTCTTATATTTTCGGGAAGGCTATTCCACAGCACTGCTCCACTGTACTGAAAGCTTCGCTTCAGATAATTAGTTCGTGGCTTGGGTAGATTTAATTTCATTTCAAAGTTCCTAAGATTATATTCTGAGCCACGAACTGAAAAAAGATTTTGTAGATAGGTAGGTGTGTCACCTTTGAGTGTTTTGAACATCAAGCCAGCTTTAAGTTTTTTGCGTCTCAACGATAAGTTATCCAAGTGTAAAGTATCAAGAAGCACAGTAGCATTAGTGTCATAGCTGGACCTCGTAATGACCCTGACCGCCCGGTTCTGTAATTTTTGTAGTTTAGAACTTAGCGTTTCGCCAAGACCATCCCAGACCGAGCAGCAGTAGTCAAAATGAGGTTGAATCAGTGCTTGGTATACTTGGATAGCCGTGTTCGTTGAAATGCAGGATCTTATACGTTTTAAAGCCCCTATGGCTGAAGCAATTTTTTTACATAGTTTGTCAGTATGCTCAGACCACATAAGGAGATTATCAAGATGGACACCCAGAGATTTTACCGAAGTAACTTGGTTGACCATATTACCGTTTATCTCAATATCTATTTCATTATTTAGTGTTTTTATTCTCTGTCTAGATCCAACTACCATGAATTCTGTTTTTACAATATTTAAGCTTAGTTTATTAGTGGTTAGCCAATCGCTTAGACCTTTCAATTCGGTGTTAATGACATTTTGGAGCTCTTTGGCAGAGTCGGATGCATAACTAATACTTGTATCATCTGCGAACATTCTTGCAGTTGTATGATCAAGACAGTTCGGTAAATCATTAATGTAGATGAGGACTAGGCTGCTACCTTGTCAACCTTGAGGTACACCGCAGGCCACTGGCACAGAATCTGACAGTTGACCGTTTACCCGGCACTTTTGAGTTCTATCAGTGAGGTATGAATGAAACCAAGTAAGACTGTTTTCGTCAATACCATAATTTTTAAGCTTTTGTAGGATAATTTGATGATCGATCGTATCAAAAGCTTTCTTTAAATCAATAAATACAACTCCGTTAATTAGGCCATTGTCAATATTCATGGACCAGTCGCTTGTGGCTTCTAGCAACGCTGTTAGGGTACTGTGGAACGGTCGAAATCCAGATTGGAATGTGTTCAGCAAATTATTTGAATCAAGATACCCATGTAGTTGATCGAAAATGATTTTTTCAAAAATTTTAGCAACACATGGAATAATTGATATAGGCCGATAGTTGCCTGGGTTATTTCTTGTGCCACTCTTAAATACTGGCGTTACTCTGCTTGCCTTCCATTCATACGGGAATATTCCGGTATTAATAGATGCAGTGAATATTCCTGTTAACGAGGGTGCAATAACACTTGCAGCTATCTTTAGGAATTTGTTTGGTATATTGTCCAAAACAGCTGACTTCTTATCATCTAATGTAGTCAGCAGTTGATAAACTGTGTTAACGGAGGGAGTTTTGAGAGAGAAAGATTTATCAGTTGGTTTAAGATAAAATACTGGATCACGCACAGGAGCAGGAATATCGGAAGCAAGTTTTTCACCAATACCTGAGAAGTAGCTGTTAAATGTTTCAGCTATTTCTTCAGGTGCAGTTATTTCTCGCTCTTCAAAATCTAATTGTGTTATCTTTTTAGTTTTGCTTACATTTCTGGAGCTTAGTTCATTTATAAGGTTCCATGTTTTTTTCATGTTGCCTTTACTCGATTCAAGATTATTCTTATAATAAGCTTGTTTAGTTTTTTTAATTTCATTATTAATGTGATTTCGAGTTTGTCGATATTGATGCCAGATTTTAGGATCATTGGATGTAACAGCTTTCTTTTTTAGGTAATCTCGGTTAAATATCTGGCGTCTTAAATCTTTTGTAATCCAGGGAGATTTTCTATTTCTAATTCTCCTGGATCTAAGTGGTGCGTGCTTATTTATGGTTTTCATGAGCATTTTTTTCCAGACATCAAACATTTCGTTAGGGTCCTGGGAGCAATAGACACTATCCCAATGGTTTAGTTCAAGGTCGCTTAGAAACAATTCTCTGTTGAAGTTCTTCATTGTTCTAGCATCTATCGTTCTGGGCCCCCCTCGTATATAGTTAGCCTTACGTATCATATATATTAATGAATGGTCACTAATAGATACGTGTATGACACCAGACTTCACAATATTTACAGGTGTATTGGTTAGGCATAAATCGATCAGGGTGCTAGATGTAGCAGTAATTCTTGTCGGTTCGTTTATTAATTGTTCGACATCGTATATATCAAGTATTTCTTTTACTTTATTCTTGCTCGGTGACTCAGTTGTTGGGGTAAAATCAACATTTAAATCACCAAGCAGAAAATACTCTAAATTTTCAGCATCGAACGATCCAATCATTTGCTCGAATTCGGCAAAGTAACTAGTAGGTAAATCTGGAGGTCTATACCATGTACTAACTAGGATAGACTTAGATCGTGGTTTCTTAATTTCTACAACTAGATTTTCGAGAGTTTCAGATTGTAGATTATGTCGTATTTTGTAATTAATATTACTTCTAATGTAAATGCAAATGCCGCCGCCGTGACGACCATTTGTACGCCGATCTCTTCGAATGATTTCAAAATTTGGTATATGGATTTCATTGTCATTAATTGATGAATCAAGTTTGGTCTCATTAATACATAATATGTCTACTTTATTATTACTCATAACTACTCGTAATTCATCTATATGGGCAAATAAACTATTTATATTCAAACATGCCATAGACATGCCCCGATGAAATGCTATTTTTTCTAAATTATATAATGAGATATTTGAGTAATTTGATTCGTTTGACTCACCCAAGGTTATCGACGATTGGTCATCTATACTTGGCTGTATTTCAGTATTAGCTACAGGCTCCCTCAACCACCCTCCCCTAGGACCTCTTGTTTCCCTAATTTTTAGGAGCTCACGTGACCAGAGGGAACCAGGGTCTTTGCTGTAGCGCCGTGCAGAAGTAAAAGACCCTGGCTTGCGAGGTTGGGTCTATGGCGCTTCAGCGCTAACTGACATTGCCAACGAGTAACGGAACAGCATTTTTTCTAACACAAAACATAATCATAAAATAGTTTACTGGCTCTTGTAGCAGGAGCAGGTTGCCACTAATTCGTTCGAAGGTCGATATACGGCTTCTTGAATCTGTTTGTGCTTTTTATGGCAGATGTATCCACTTCAAAAAAGTTGCAAATATCTTGGAGCATACGTACAGAGAATTTGGACAACTTGGAGTTTGTAGCCAGTTCGCAGATGTTGTGTATTTCAAATATTATTGGATGGGAAATAGAAATTTCATTCAAAATTTCATTTGTTAGTTTTTCAAAGTTCTCTTCGTTTGACATTTCTTTGAACTCGTCTTCCTCGACCTCATCTTCTGTGTCACTATAATCAACTTGTCTTCTTTTTTTAGCCAAGCGAGAAAAAAAGCTTGCAATTTGCTGCGGTGACAGGAAATCTGATTTTTGGAACAAACGCGAACCATCTGGATTCTTTGCTTTTCTCATAGAGTTAGACACATTCTTGGGATCTACTTTGTGGCCAGTTTGTTCTCCTATGTCAAAATGACTAGTTAGATATTCTTTCTGGGTAGGAGTAAAGCGTTTTCTTTTAGCTGACGACTTTAGCGCCCATCCGATTTCCAAAGGTTCCACGTAATCCAATGTTTATGAAATACCATGGGCTTGAAAATATCGCGATAAATCAAAATATCGAAATATCGCCCAACCCTAATCCTGCATAATCCAATCTGGCAGACAGCCCACTTTTTTCAGTCAATATATTTCAAGAATCAAGCAAGTTATGAAAACGCTCTAAAGCGTCTTTAATAATTACTTCTAAAATGTTTTCAAATGAGACAAGCTAGTAAATTTTTACTGTTAATGGCCTTTAAAACTGAAATTTTGTTGCGATGTCCATTAATAAATAAAAATGTTTATTAAAGAACCTGATCAAAAAGCTGGAGGTGCAGAGGATGAAGAAGTAGGGCAGAGAGGTAAGAATTTCAATTTGTTGTAACATTTGACAGTTCGGCTATTAGTAAAACCAGGAACAACGGAACATGGAACACCGGAACAGCATCGTTCCGGAACACGGAACACCGGGACACTAAAAATTCTTAATTTGTTAAAAATTCGAAAAAAATTTCCGGGGGTGTGAAATTATTGCTGGAAAAATTATTGCGTATAACATGCTTTTTAATAATGTTCCGACTTGCCGATTGCTACTATAAATTACGAACTGAAATCAGTCTCAAATTAATTAATATTTGCCCGAAAAGAAGAAATCAAACCTAGAATAGACAATTCCAGCTATCGACTAATTTTTGATAGCTTTAAATTTCGTGTCGCGTTGTACCGGCGATGGAAAACACGTGGCAGATTCGTAAAATACGACGAATACCGAGTTTTTCCGGCGAGCATTAGAGAGGTTTAGGCGAATTTCAGTCGAATTTAATGAGTCGAATTTCAGTCAAGTCATTATATCCGACGAAAGTTCGACGTATAAATTGACTAAATCCGACGGGATGCATTAAATGCGACGCTGTCGAATTTTGCGACATGATCAGTCGTGTAATGCGACCGAAACGCAACACTGATTTATCGAATTTCCGTCGCATGGAATAAAATGAATAAATTATTTAAATTAGATTGTTATCCACAACTGTACCCTAAAATCAATAACATCACACTTCGTGGACTCCACGAAGTGTGATTTTCAACATGGAGGACAAACAACATCCATGTTCTAATTGCTGTCGTGTTACATGTAAAACGTACGTTTTCAATCGTACATCATGTTCTATGGCTGTAACAGACGAAGAAATTGAGGGATGGATTCCAAATGTAAGCGTTGCTTACTGCAACAATTACTGCCCGGAAATATATTCCATATCAATGATTTTCTCTTTCATACTGTATGTTCTTCCGTCAATGGAAAATTACTTGACACATAATCCTGCCATAAATGTGTAACCATTGCTTCACAAACCTTTATGACAATCTTATGAATAGTAGGTACTGGCCAAAGGGAAAAAACCGACAGAAAAAAAAACTGGCAATAAATGAAACGAAAAGAAACTGGCAGCTCTGTTTTAATTTTTTTCTGTAACTGGTCTCCAATCTTGTGAAGAATGGTTGTGAAGATTTGTCGTGACACGCGAAAAATATTGTTAAAACGCTTTTCAGAATACAGTAGTTTGACCACAGATAGTCCAACTCCAACTAATAACTCCACTGTACTGATCTTTCAAGCCGACGACATGAACGAATTCGGGGTATTTACGCTTCACACAAATTGGAAAGCAGTGCCAAGCACAGCCGAAGAATCTTCCTTTTTCTATTAAATTATTAATTACTAAGTGCAAAATTTACAATTGATTCTGACGCCTTTCAATTCTCTGCTAACTTTAAGGATTTGTTTAAAATAATTGCTTTTGTGAACGCCGCATCTTTATTTTATAGGCTTTTATTTGTCCATCTTACAGCCTGCAACACCCGCATGTTTTGATTTTCCGACCAAAATTCGACGTCTAAACTGAACGCAACACTTCCGTCGAATTTCCGTCGGATAATTGTCACATTAAATTCGACAAATTAAATTCGACTGAAATTCGACGTATAAACTACGCCTAAGATACCCCGGTTTCGGTGTACGCGTACGGATAGCATGATTTTGGTTAGCAATATTTCCGTCGATGTCTGTACCTTTACTCGTAATTAAGGTGCACATTTTTCGCATTATATCATTGACTATTGCAAGAAAACAGAAAAAGTATGATCGAATTACAGACTTCAGTAAAACAAGATGACACTACTTGTAGACGCGTTGTGTGAATGCATGAGTGCATGCACCCATAATTTGTAAATAATTTAATGTAAATTGATTGATATGTAAATAAGTTGTGAGCATATTTATATATAGAGGCTCTGATATTTTTTGTGTGAAACGATCAATAAAATTTGGAACCCAAGCAATTGGCAGCTACATTTTGGTCCTTGGAACCGGATGAATCCGAGAATCGAATCCCCAACTAGCCTTAGTTCAACTTCGCGAACGGCAAAATCTCGAAAAGGAAGTTGAACAACACATGTTAGAGCTTCGGCAGATCGTAGAACTGCGTAACTTAGAAGACAACGTTAAACTTGCTAAGCTTGAAGAGCAGTTCGTTGTTGAATATGATCAGAATATGTTTGACGATAATGAATTAACAAAAAACAATACACCTTTTGAATTTGAATATCGTTCTGCATCGCCGCGTAAAGCGAAAGGGGACAAAGGGGAAATTCCCTATTTTAAAACCACATATAAGCGAAGAAAAACCGTTAAAGTATTCAAGCGTCCCTGTTTCCCCTCCCTGTGAAACTGATACAATTCGACGATTAGCTGAAACCTTCGCCAGTTTGTCGCATACGCCGCTGATGGAGGTGACTAAATTTGCTGGTGATCCGAAGGAATATTGGAGATTTTCCACCCGTTTTAAAGATCAAGTTCTGTCGCAGCCGATCGGCGAAAGTAAAAAACTTAGTCGCTTGATGCAGTACTTAGACGGGAAGGCGAAAGAAGCCGTAGAAGATTGCGAAGGCATGGGTGACGGCGCGTTACAAGAAGCTTTAAATGTTATCGAGACTCGCTTTGGACAACCCTACATGATTGTCGATGCATCCATTGGGTCACTTGTGAAAGGTCGAACATCAATAGTGGAGATGGAAAAGGTCTACAGAAATTAGCCGACAAGTGTCAGTCCGTTTATCAGAGTCTGAAAGCGATGAAGTGTCTCAGTGAAGTCAACACCGATCACATGAGAAGATTGGTCGCCCGTTTACCGTATCATTTGCAAGCCAAATGGAGAGATCGCGCGAGTTCAATACTGAAATCGAGAAGTAAGCTCCCTAGTTTCTACGACTTGGTGGAATTTCTACAAGAAAGAGCAAGCTCCGAGAATAACCCGGTATTTGATAATTTGTGTTATGGAAACCCCGCTAGTATATAGGTCTTCCACGCTCGCTTAACTTGGGACTGTATTCTATTCTTCATTCAATCGTGACAACCAGTAAATTTCACACAACTTTATTTCAGATACGTACTACGACAATGACTATAACAACTACCTACAATCTACATACACGGTTATATATATAATACATTTTAAAGGAAGAAATATCTAACTGATGACGTTAAAGGAAGAACATACCAAGCGTTCATACGCCTACGGCAAGAACATTCTTTTCTCATTTTAACCTAATTTGGACCTACAGGAACTTAATTTGCATTTATTGCGTTCGAAAGAAGAACATGTCAACATTTAATGCGTAAGCTTGTTACAAATTTGCCCTTGACTGATAATGATATATAACTTCTACAGTATATTGTTGCAATATATATCTATACTTATGAACTTAACAAATTGCGCAACACTCTCCCCCCGATTGACTTGTTTACGAGTCAAGCATAATCCTAGTTTTACAGCCTGAGTCTAAAGCCGCGCTTCGCTTAGGCAAATTCCTGACCACCTTATTTTTGTCTTCATGCACTGGTACGCTCGCTCCCAACTTACCATCTTCGCTGCTGCTCCTAATTTCTAAAGGATACAATTTTTGCACGGGTCTAGACAAATGAACCGGCTTACCACTGGTAATAACCCGTAGCTTCGCACCTCTTACGACACCATCCTTGCCTTTAATCAATCCTTCTACGACACCTAACTTCCACTTATTCCTTTTCACATCCTCCTCAAAAACAGTAACCACATCTCCCACGTTTACCTTGGCGACACCATGATCATCCGCCCTCGGCTTGTGATATTCCCTCAAGTTAACTAAATATTCTCGTCTCCACCTTTTCCAAAAGTGCTTCAGCCTCGTTGTCAGATACCTAAATCGTTCGTCACATGTACTTTTATTTGCGTAATCGTCAGGTTCAACAATCTCGTCTGGCATACCCTTTATGCGTCTACCGTAAATCAAATGAGACGGAGTCAAAACATCTTCGCCTGGTTCATCGTATTGGTATGTCAGTGGTCTACAGTTTATAGTCGTCTCTATCTCTGCTAAAATTGTTCTTAGTTCGTCAAATGTTAATCTAGCGCTTCCTAGTACCTTCCTAAGACAAACTTTCACATTTCTCACCATTCGCTCAAAAAATCCTCCCCACCACGGCGCTCTCTCTAAATTGAATTTCCATTCTATCCTTCGTACCTCTAAATCTGACTTCACTTCTGGGTGATCAAATAACTGCTTCAGTGTCTTTTCTACTGCTTTAAACGTTTTAGCGTTATCCGACACGATTATAGATGGATTTCCCCGCGCTGCAGTGAATCGTCTCAGACATCTTCTAAAAGTTTGGGCAGACAAGTCTTCAACTAATTCTAAATGGAGTGCTCTAGTTACGCAACATGAAAATAACGCTATGTAAACCTTTCGCATACTTTTGCCTTGCTTAACATACAAGGGACCTGCAAAGTCTACACCTACCTTGTCGAATGGAGGTGACTGTTTTACGCGAAATTCTGGCAAAGCTGCAGCTTCTGGAGCCTTGTACGGTTTACCCGTCAATTTCTTACATACAGTACACTTGCTTAACAACTTTTTCACATATTGCCTCCCCTTTGGGACCCAAAACTTACTTCGGACCTCCGCTAATGTGGCTCTCACACCACCGTGATGTACTTTACGGTGGCTTTCCTCTACAATAAGTCGTGTCAAATGATGGTTTCTTGGTAAAATAATCGGTTTTTTACTATCAATATCTAAATCGGAATTTAACAATCTACCTTGACAGCGCAATATTCCTTCTTCGGTTTTTAACCCTAAATTTTTTACTAATTGCCGAAAATTAGACTGACCTTTTAACACAATTTGCGCTGAAATAATTAATTTCTTCGCAAGTAATCAAGTAATTCTTCGACGCTTAAAATCCCTGTTTTTCTCGTTGTTTTTGTGGTTAAAGCTTTCATATTACTAACAAATCGCATCACCCATGCATTGATTCGTACAACTTTCTCAAAACTGCTAGATTTAGAAACATCTAAAACTGTGCCTACGTTAGGTTCTGCAATAACTGTCAGTATGGTGGCGTGCCTTTTTTCTTCCTGAATACTTTCTGGGGTTGTTTGCTCCTCATGCACTGATGTGGGCCAATTTTGCTCATCTTGCAAAAGCCAAGCTGGGCCTTCCCACCATTTTCTAGACTCTTTTAAATTAGTCGCAGTGGTTCCTCGGGATCCTATATCAGCTGGGTTTTCCTCTCCCGGGCAATGTCCCCGTTCTGCCTTATCTGTTAAACGTAGGATTTCATTGACCCTGTGCTGGACAAATTGCTTCCACTCGCCTTTGTT